TGACTATTTTGTTGGTAATACAATTCACATTGTTATTTTGAAACAATTTTCTTTATACTGTATAATAAAGCAGATGAGAAGTTGGTTATGTTGATGACGATCTAAGAGAATAAAAATTCAATTACAAGATCAAAAATTAACTATAAAGCTAATGTTAAAATTGAAGTGAACATAGTTAAATGAACGCGTGGCTTTATTAATTGCATATTATCTATCTTAGTCCTTTGAAATGGCCTAGCAGAAATTAGCACTCAGATTTTGCCCCACAAATTCAGAATTTTTTAAAGAACTAGCTGTTTTCAGGAGTGGGTTAGAGAAGGTACAAGGTGAGCCTGGAACATGCTGTGATGTTCATGAGCAAAGATGCTTTCAAACAGTGATTGGGTATGTCAGAAGGACACGAGAACCTTTTTGGAAAAAGGAGCTCACGCTGCCCAAAATTGTGATGATTAGAGCACTAAAAGAAGGAGTGATTATAGTGGACTGAAACACGTTGCACCTACTAAAGCCATGAGGAGTCCATAATGATAGTCAAAGAAAAAAAAAGAAAAACTCGGAACAAAACTTCATTTGTCACCCTTTGACGTGGGGATTAAAGCAACTTCTTCCTTTGCAGATCGGTAATTAAAGAGAAGTAATTAAGTATTCACACTGCCTTGTCAATAATAACTGTTTTTCAGGGCAAACAGGCCTATTTATGACAGAAAAAGCTGTTTTATGGAAGGCTATCAAGCAGTAAACGTAGAGGGAACGTTAGATAATTATAAAGTCAACACTTCGCCACTCCTGTTAGATCCGTGTTTCAGGCATCGATGGCTGCTCTGCTGGCAAAGAAGGTGGGTCATGACGTGCCCTCTGAGGAGGCTTAGATGCGGCCTCCAGGCAGAAGCAGCGTGGGCTGAGGCTTGAGTGGGAGCAGAGGCGGAGAACAAGGGCGGAGAAGGGCTGGTTAGAAGGAGGGATATGCAGGCGCCCTGGAGAAACTTGAGAGTCTGCACTGATATTGGAGGGGACTGTTGCCCATTACAGAGGTCCAGAGTCAGGACAGAAACTGAGGGTGACGTACAAAGAGAGCGAGCTCTGAGAGGCGCGTGGGAACTGCAGCCAACTGCAGCCCAACGAGCGCCCTGTCTCCCCCATTTGCTCTCTCAGAGGCCTAGAGTGCGGTCAGTAGACTAGCTGTCCACCGTTGAAATTGTTGCTGGTGTCCATCCCCTCTCAGCTGTCACTGAAACGTGCAGTTTGTCAGCCTCTGTGGCCGAGTATTCATGGTGCAAAGATGCCTGAGAAAGGGTGAGAGACCAGGGGTGAGACCAGAGAAGTGGGTGGGGTCACATGAACAAGAGGCAATGCTGCTAAACTAAGAGGTTTAGACTGTGGAGAGGAGGAAAGCCACTGGAGGGAGGTTCAGTGGGGATGCCAGAAGGCCTGTCCTTTGAAAAGGCTGCCCTGGCTTCTTAGTGAAGGAGGGAGTGGAGGCTATAGGGGTGTGGGGGGAGGAGGTAAGAATGCAACAAGTAAGCAGGTGGTTGCCATCCTTGGGTTTCAACCTGGCTCCTTTTTCAGGTCCTCTTTCAGAGGCCAAGCATCACATGAACTGAACACAAATGCCAAGTTTTAGATCTGAAGGGAAAAAACAATGGACGCCAGCTTCAGAACCCCAGTACACAAAAAAAGAGGCTATTTAGGGATCTGGATCCTTCAACCACAGAAAACCAGTAGGTGAGAAGTGGCTGGTTCCCACTACACTCCCCTGGGCAAATGAAGGGAACCACATGATGTTTCTTCCCAACACAACTGACTGTCGAGGGGAAATTATATATGGCGCCAGGAAGTGGTCCCTTTCACTTCAACCCACCTAGAATACATGCAGAATAGCGGCCAATTGCAAAACCAACCTCAAAATTCTAAGCCGTCTACTTAGCTCACATCCATTCATGCAGCAGACTTTATTGAGCACCTACTATGTCTGGGGCTGCCCTCACTATAGGTTAGGTTTACAAACAATAAAAATGAGCCCCCTAAGAAGTGAAGACTTGATAAATGAGACAGACAACTGAACAGGAAATTCAGAACAGGGACATGGGTGCTCTAAAGGGGGTAAGCACTGGGGGGAAAATATTGCACCAAGGCCACTGACTTCAGTGACCCTGGGAAGCCACACCTGAAGGTGATTTGGATGGGAACAGGTTTCTTATTACACTCAAGTGTCATGAGCCTGAAGTGTGAAAAATGGAAAAATTCTGGTGGATTTCGTTTCCAACTTGCCTCAGCAACAAACAAATGTTTTTGGTTTTTAGCCTCATCATTAAAAATATTCCTAAGGTGAACAAGACCACTACCCTGGTTAGCAGCTGTAGCAAAATGAATGAAATTGAGTTATTCTGCAATAGTTACCATATAACTGAAAGAATACTGTTTCAGGAATTTGAGACCTAAAGGTGGGAATTTCTGCTTTACTCCTTTGCTCTAGAATGCTAAAATAAAACAGTGATGATTGACAGACACATAGATTGATAGGTAGGTAGGTAGGTAGATAGATGATAGACAGATAAAGAGGTTGTTGCTCAATATAATATATAACAAAATCCCCTTTCATATCTCTGATATGGTCTTTACTGCATGGTTATTTGCTTTCTTCAAAATACATAATCAAAGGGAAATAAAGCTCGGTTAGTCTGAAAATTCTGGTGAGTTTTGATCTAGTCGCACACAATGTTCTTCAAAAAAAAATACACTTTACATCCAAATGCCCATTCACTTGTGAAGGCATTTACGACATGCATAGCCATATGATGGAATACCGCCCATCAGTGAAAAGCAACAAACTATGATACATACTATAGCATGGGTGGACCTCAAAATACTAAGCTAAGTTGAAGAAGCAAAAAGCAAAAGACTGTCTATATCATTTACAGGAAAGGCTTAGAGTGACTACATATTTCATCTATAAGAAATGTCTATAAAAACAAGTTTGTACAGACGGGAAGCAGATCAAGGCTGCTTATGGCTAGGAGTAAAAGCAGGAATTAACTACAAACAGGCAGAAGGAAACTACATGGGCTGATGGAAATGTTCTTAAACTGGATTGTGGTGATATTATAATAGTTGCCCAACTATAAATTGGCTAAAATAATTAAATTGTACACTGATTAATGGGTGAATTTTATGATGTGGAAATTATAGTTCAATAAAGCCATTAAAATACACACACACACACACACACACACACACACACACATACACACTTCACATATTTTTAATCCAGGTAAATAGAAAGTATTTGAAGATAATGCCATGTAGCTACTTTATGAGTATACTGAGCATCTCCCCCTGAGCCAAGTACTTTTATCTGTTTCAGAAAGCCACCTTCAGAGCGGCGATGTGATGAGCCCCGGGACACACACCGGAGCCACGCTGCGTTAGGAATGAAAGCCAGTTGGGTCCACCTCTAAACCCTGCACACAATTCATTTCATCATGCCCCCGCTAAATAGAAACAATTAGTTGCCCCAGATTCACATAGTGCAAAGTAACAGTTTAGATTCCCCCTCCCCCAGCCTCCCATCTTCTTTTCCTGCTGTTGTCAGACTCTGCTCCCCCGGTTTCCCAGCCACCGCCTTGAGACGGTGCTGTAAGACAGAACTGACTGGGTCGGTCCTGTCCCCAAAATGGCGTGCTGACGCGGACATCTTGGGTTGGACCCTTCACACCGGGCTCCAGAGCTCAGCCCATTGTTCGCTGCTCCCCCATCCAGCCCTGTACGGCTTCGCTCTAGCGTCTCACCACTCTTAGAAGGGGATGGTCATTTCTCCAGCCTCTTCCCTTTGTCCCTGCAGCTCTTCTCACCTGAAATTCTTGGCCTCTCCTTGCCCCTGCCAGGTACTGGCAAACCCCTGCTCCTCCTTTAATATCATGAACAAATATCACGTTCTTTGTGGAACTTTCCACTGCTTCTCCAAGCAGAGTGGGTTGTTCCAGGGGGCTGGTGCGTGCTTTGATCATGTTTCTTCAGTCTCTTAAACAGCATTTAACTACATTGACTCAGTATCAATCCAGTGTATTTGTCAAATTTTCTTTATAACCATAGCATGTATCATTAAAAGGACAACTTGGATTCAAATCTCCATTCTATAATTTACTAGCTCTGTGACCCTGGACATATTATGAGAACTCTCATTACATCAATTCTCTGATCAGGCACTTGTATCTAGAATATGTAAAGAACTCTCACAACTCAATAATAAATAGACAAGCTACCCAGCCTAAAAGCGGGCCAAGGATTTGCATAGATATTTCTCCAAAGAAGATATACAAGTGGCCGATAAGCACAGGAAAAGGTGCTCAACATCATTACTCACTGGGACACATACATCAAAACAACCCAATACCACTTCATACCCAGTAGGATGGTTAGAATCTAAAAGTCAGACAGTAATAAGTCTGTATTTTGCAAGAATGTAGAAAAACTGGAACCCTCAAATGTAAAAAGGGACAGCCATGTTGGAAAGTAGTTTGACAGTTACTTTAAAAGGTAAATATAGACTTACCACATGACCCGCAATTATACAAATTCCACTTCTAGGTATCTTCCCAAGAGGAATGAAAGCATGTGTCTAAAAACAAACAAACAAACAAAAAGTTTGTAAATGAATGTTCATAGCAGTATTATTCATAATAGCCAAGAAGTGGGAAAAAAAAAGTTACTGCACAATTTTCATATAGACTTGTTAATCTGGCCAATTTGAACATCAGTTTCCCTTGCGTTTTCCATTTGTCTCTGATCACTTCAAACAGTCCACATTTTGTATTCTAAAGAGTAGACTTCACTTTTACAGACTTTGCTCATTTTGAAGCCTTATCCCCTGCCCAGTCACTCCCCTCCCCAAGCCTGGCCTCTTCTACAGCCCTTAAGCAAAACTCATCTGCCCTTACTAGGAAACAGTTGCAGCAAAACCTGATTTAAAATAGTTGTTTGACAGTTTTCAGGGAATTAGGCCTGTCGATCTTTCGGCAAAATTATTTTCACTGAACAGGTTTACATGGATTTGGTGTTTTGGTGAATTTCCTTTTGGCCAATGGATTTTCAGCAAATTGACTGAGAGCCAGCGAACGACTCTGCGTCCGTGGCTTTGTTCTTTGTTTACACAAATGGGTCCATGGACAGTCACGTGTTTTCGTTATTTGAGCCTCTCAAGAGCTTCCAGGCTTTGAGACCTAAAGCTCGTCGATTCAGGTTTGTGGATCATAACACAGAGCTCAAGGATGCAAACCATATAGTGGTGGTGTCATGTAGACTAGATGACCCTTCCCTTTTTCTACAATGGCCATGAAATTCTTTCTTCGAAAGTACCCAGAAGTCTAATATATAAAGGAGATTAAAGAAGATAAGGTCTTGCTGATGTGCAAGCCATGATACCCAGCTCTCTATGACCTGCCCCATGTGCACACCTATTACTCATCTAGAAGCTTCTAAGTTCCTCAGAAGGTGACCTGGCATTCTACACATCACAGTTGAAAAATCACTTGTTTCATCCAATCACGTCTTTTCACAGATCAGAAAACTGAGGCCCAGAGATTCCCAGTGACTTTAGTCAAAATCAAAGGATGAAATTTAAAAGTCATGATATTAACTCTCCCTAAAGCGTGAATAACTGTAATCAAATCGCACTGTTTGGTATTGAAATCTCCTTCTCTGGTGTCCAAATGGCTCTTCCCAAACTGACAATGAAAAGTACATGGATTTCTACTCCATAAAATTAAATTCGAGTTCTCTTTCTTCCTATCTATGTAAACTTGGGCTGTGCCTCAACCTACCTAAGTGTCAGAGTTCTCATCTGCAATGAATGGATAAAAATATCTATGCTCCCAGATCACTGTGACAATTATTATTATTATTAATTATTATTATTAATGAGCTAGTATGTGTAAGTGCTTAAACACCTGCATCATAGGAGCTACCCAAAAACTGTTATTTCCTGTCCCTTGTCCTTGCCAGTTACCTTTCTCTCTGCTATCCACAGGACCCCAGGATTTGAGTGTTGTGTCTCTCCTTCAAATGCGATCCTCCCCCAAAAGAGTCACCAACACTCAGAATAATCTGTGACCACAGTCCAAATAAAGTTCACATTGATCAGTCAATTAAAACCCACAAAATAAATAAATACTATTGAGAGCAGCAAATAAAGCTGAAAATAGTTAAAACCCATATAAATTTGCATCCGAAATACCACTTCCTTTTGACATCTCTCAAACATCAATCAACCTACTTTTGGCTCTTTCCACAGTCTTTTCCCCAAAAGTCCACTGGAAATTTCCTATGTGCTTAAAGGAGACATATGAACCAATAACATTTCTAGAAGTTTCCAGAATGAGCTGCTCACCATCATTCAGCCTCTCAGGGGAAACAGAGCTGGAGCCCTGCTTACTGACTGTCTTTTCCAATTCTCGTGTCAAGGTATTCCTGCAGAGCTAAATAATGTACCCCTGGAGGAAAGACTTCCACAGAAAATTTGCAGGTTAAAATTCTTAGGGTTTACCTGGAATTCATATTAAGGTTTCAGCTGGAGGGAAGAGAGAAGGAGAAGTAGGAAGAGAAATGTGTGCATTAAAAATATTGGGAAGCACAGGGAAAGAGAGCAGTTTCTAAAATCTAGTTTGCCCTGTATTCCTGAAAGGTGAGAGCTGAGGTGTCACATGTTGGAAAGAGAATGACCTTGAGATCGAAACAGCCCAAGTTGCTTCATCATGGTCACCCTCACAGCTGCCTTTTGTTGAAAGCCTTTTATACAGCAGGTACCAAGCTGGAAGATTTACATACCTTATCACATTGGAACCTTAGACACCCATCCAAGACTTATTTTTGAAAGAAGGAGGAAACTTTCAACTTTGAGCCAAAAAAATGACAGTTTTATCCCAACAGTAAGATATGAAAAATTCCCATTAGGGTCACCCTGATCTCCCTTCAGTACCCCTGAAGTACCACTACGTAAAACCCATCAAAAGTCCACCATTGCTTTTAGACTATAAACCAAACTCCTTACAAAAGCTCAACGTGACTTCATTCCTGCTTACCTGTCCCGCCCATCCCTCCTTAATAGTGTGTGCTCCAGACACCCATAATTGTACGTTTTCTCTCCCTGTCCCTCTCACGTGTCCTGTTCTGCACGCTCTCGCATTCCCCCGCTCTCTCCTGTACTCCATCACACCACTTCATTTATTGCTCTGGGAAAGCTGCTGATGAAATATTTCTCACCAAGTCACGCATAATTGGTTTAATGTCTTAGTCTCCCAAGAGCATTTGCATTTTAATAGAGGACAATATTTTATTAGCATTAATGTTAATTATTAAGTAAAATAGCTTTCACTTTTACAGCACTCTAGAGTTTACAAGGCACATTTACATATAGTATCAAATCTATACTCACAGAGGTGAAGAGAGGAGCCTGGTTTTTTTTTAAAGAAAAAGTTACCTTGAAATACATTTTCTTCCTGAGGTATGACTCTTCCCTTTTACTTGGGGGGAAGGATATTTAAATTGAGATATATGCAACCAATGAATGATGCTGAACCCTAGATTATTTGTACAATTAGGAGACCCTGTGAAGTATTCCTACATTTTAATAGAAAATTTTTGTTTTGTTATAATTAAATAATACTCATTGTAACAAGTTTAAGTAGTGAAATTTTACCTCAAAAAAGAATTCCTGATAAGAATATATTCTCCTACTGAACTGACTCTGGGTGGTGAACACACAATGTGATCTATAGATGATGGATTACAGAATTGTACATTTGAAACCTATGTAATGTTACTGGCCATTGTCACCCCAGTAAACTATAATTTAAAAAAAAAAAAGAATATTCTCCTACTGAGGGTTGCCAGATGGGAGGGGGTTGGGGGGCCGGGTGAAAAGGGGGAAGGGATTAAGAAGTACAAATTGGTAGTTACAAAATAGTCATGGGGATGCAAAGTATAGCATAAGAAATATAGTCAACAATATTATAATGACTATGTATAGTGCCACATGGATACTAGATTTATTGGAGTGAGTACTGTGCAAGGTATGTAAATGTTTAGTCACTATATTGTACACCTGAAATCACTATGCTGTATGTCAACTGTAACTGAAATAAATATGCATTTCAAAAATTAAAAAACCATCCTTAAAAAAAGCCCGTGTTAATGCATTCCAGAACATAGATGACAGGATGTAGAACACGATTAGATAACTGGAATCTTAAACAAAGAATCAAGTGGAAATTCTCGAAGTAAAAAACACAATAACTAAAACTAGAAATGCAATAAATAGGTACAAAGGATTGCATATACCTCATAAAAGGATGCGTGAACTCGAAAGATAATCAGTAGAAATTATCCATATTCAAACACAGGAGGACAAAAAATATCAAAAATACAAATGAAAAAAAGAGCATAAGAAACAAATGGACAATAGTGAAAAAAGTAATACATATATGTGATTGAAATTCCACAAAAGGAGCAAAAACATGTGCTGACAATTGAAGCAGTTATCGAGTGCATATGGAACACTTGCCAAAATTTTTCATATACTGTGCTAAAAAAGCAAGCACAATTCCAGGGATTTAAGTAATTTGAAATGTGTTTAATGATGGCATTGAATAGACACTAAAAATCCAAAACAAACAACTAGAAAATTCTCCAATGTTTGAAAAGACTTCCCAGCCCTGCCACAATTCACCAACGGGAAGCTCTCCAAACCCCCTCCTTTTGGGTGTTTTGGATGCTTGATTACATAAGGAGGATTGATTTAACTCATTGGCCATCAGTAGTTGATTCAAACTCTAGCCCTTCTCCCCTCCCCAGAAATCAGAAGGTGGGACTAAAAGTTCTCACCCTCCATTCATGGTTGGTTTCCCCTGGCAACCAGTCCCCATCCTTAGGTGCTTTCCAAAAGTCACCCTCATTAACATAAACACAGATATGGTAGAAAGGTGCTTGTTGTGAATAATAAGACACTCATTTCACCTTTGTGGCTCTGAAGCATTTTTTCAGGAACTGAGACAAGACACTAAATATTATAACAAAAGATAATCCCATTGCTCTTATTGCTCAGGAAATTCCAAGGGTTTTGAGAGCTATGAGCCATGAACTATGGATGAAGACCAAATATAATATGAAAAATATATTTTGGCCATCTGAATGGCCAAAATATGTATAGATAGATGATAGATAGATAGATAGATAGATATAATATTATATTATATTATATTATATTATATATTATATTATATTTGGTCTATATATATATATATATATATATATATATATATATATNTATATATATATATATATATATATATATATATATATATGTGTGTGTGTGTGTATATATATATATTTCTTATAAATCACAATATTACACCCCAGTTTTAAACATTGCTCTTCCAAGATACTCCCCCTAACTAAATGCCTGATATGGTCTTGTGCTATTAAGCAAGAGAAAGTTGTGTGTGTGTGTTTTTTAAAGAATAGAAGTGTATCCACCTCGAAAAAAATCAAAATAAATATCTCAAAGATCATCTATATTTCAAATATTATAACATGGAGAGCAAGTCTCTTCAAGAAAATTAAGCGTTAATACAAGAATTGCAACTAATAATAAAAATAGTAGGGAATTAAGAACAACACACAGGAAATTCTTGAGGTTTTTCCCTGAATTGCATGCCAGGGGACTGCAGATCCAACTGTCAGGATTAAACTCCAGATCAAGCAGAAAAGTTCAAAAGAAGAAAACACAGTAGCGTCACAAAGTCATCCATCTCTTCTGCTCACTGACTGGCGAATCCTGTTATAAACTTGCTCAGCTTCTGAGCACCTTAGCCAAGTAACAAGCCTATAAAAGCATTTACTACTGTCTGCACCTGAACCCCAGAATGAGCATCAAACTTTCTCATTTGAAACGTTGCCACAACCTCTCCTCCAACGGGCAGCCTGAAACACCGCTGTTTGATGTCCCCACAGATGTGGGGACACAAGGACCTCAGCGGGTGGGATTCCAAACACATGTCTCCCTGTGGATCCTGGTCCCCAGACTATCTCCTTGCCACAGAACCTTGTCTGGAAACAAGACAATTATCTTTTCTAGTGGGGGTTGCGGAGAATAGAGGAAGAGGTGTGGAAGAGAGAGGGAGAGTTAGGGGATGGGAAACCAACAAACTGTGGTTTATTTTCAGGAAGCTGCGAGGCTGGATCTTTCAGAGCAGCTCATACTTTTTCAAGCTGCATTTTCTTTGAGGTCCCCCACTCCGGATACCCCAGGGCCCTCCTTTTGGCGCTGGCCCTTGCATCACCAGCAGCCAGGGGAAGGGGCCCTGGTGTGGTAGTGGTCACAGGGCTCTTGGATAAGCTTTACCGTAATCTTCATAAACCTCAATGCTCAAGGTGCAGGGGGAGATTGGAGGAAACTTGTTTTTCCGTTGGGTTTCTCTCTGACTTCTGTGGTTAATCATTCCTAGAACAGGAAGCTGGAGAAATTTAGGTGGGAGACACTCTTCCGACCAGCCAGGTTTCCTCACCCTCCCAGGGTACAACTGGTGAGGAAAATCGTCGGGGTTACATAACCTTCTTCCTTCAGGGGGGTTTCTTGCCAAAAGCTGAATGGACTGCCCACCCCTGAGAAGCGGGGCAGGAATCTCTTCTCTGTTTAGTCCTGCTGCTGGCTGCATCGCATCACCCTTATGGACTAGTGGGACAGGAAAATTTACTCCACCCTTTCATTCAACAAGTATCTACCAAGCACCCACCATTCTAGGTTCTCGGGACATGTCAGTAAACTCAATGAAGAACTTGACCCTGGTGGACGCATATCCTAGACGGAGGGAGGGAGGGAGCAGTGGTGAATAAGGAAATCATATGTGTGCTGGGAGTGATAGGGAAAATCAATAAAAACAGAGCAAGGACAGAGGGATGGGGAGGGGAAGCAGAGGGGTGATTGCAATTTTAAGCAGAGTACAGGCCCCAAAAAGGAGGCCTCTGAGCAAAGCCTAGAAGATAAGGGTGCCGTTATGTGACTACCTGAAGGAAAAGCAAACGCCTAAGGTTGGAGGAGTGTCACCAGTGTGTTCAAGGGACAGCGGAAGTGGCCGGGGCAGGAGGAGCGGCGTGGACACGCAGGGTGGGCGGTGATGCCGGGAAGACGCGGGGGCCAGCGTTGCGCAGGTGGTCCACAACTTCAAAGCCAACCGGCACATACGTTGTGTTTGAACTACAGCTTTTTTCTTTTTTTAATTTTTAATGTAGTTACAAGATACACCAGACAAATCATTTGCCTCTCTTGCTTCTCTTTTAAAATATGGATATCTGGCAATACCTCGTCTGTATAACCTGGCTGGAGCTTACTCCAGGCTGTTCGCATGAAGCAGGTAGATGGTCCCTGTTCACCCCAGCTCCTACCACCTGCTGGTACTTATCTCGGACCGTTTATTATAGCGCCATGGTTGTCAAGCCCTCATCTGATCTTGCTTATTCATTCATTCATTCATTCATTTTACACTTTGGGTATAAAATACAGACCACTGAGGCCTAGACGGAGGGAGATGGTAGAATCCTCAGTCATAAAATCAGAATCCGTGCATTCCAGCCACCCCCATAAGTACAAGCACTACAAATAAAAACCTCCCAGGAATTAAATTCACACAGGCCAGTCCTTCCTCCTAATGCAACCTGGTGGCTAAGCCTCCATATTACTCCGGATCAGATTGTTGGTTATGTCTCAGAATTATTTTTAATTGAGCTTTGATTCCGTCTCATTCAGTCCCCCTCATTGAACTGCACTTGTGGCTAAGGGCTTGAACACGCAGACAGAGTTAGGGGCCCCAGGCTCCAGCAGAGTTCAGGTGGAAACCATAAAACCACCAGCTTCCACTGGAAGCGGGTGGGAACCTCTTGTCCTGCCTGATTCATGGTATTTAGACTTTGGGCTGGAGCCAGAATGAGGGGCCTGCCTGCCACTCGTCCTCACTGGGCCTGGCCTGGCTTGACCTGGGGCCAGTGATGAGCTGTATTAGAAAAGCCTGCCTTTGGGACCTAGAAGCATGGCTCTCCGTGCTTTTCCATTTGGTTCGTGCCTCCAACCCGCCTGGCCCATTCCTTGCCCGTTCTATTGCACGTCAGCAAAGATCTAGACCTC